CCGCAGCACGCGCGACGCAACTCAACGAGCATCATCATCGCCAACCGGCACACCAGTCGAGACGAATCAGTTTGACGTGAATCGGTTCTTCCTGTAATTCCTTCAGGCGCAGATGCCTGAGCGTACGCTTCTGTTTACGAGCGTGGAATCCTCGCCGTCGACTAATCGCCAGTCCTGTCTTCTCTCTCCTTCGATCGCGTGCTAAATACACCTAATCACGAGCCAAAGCCTATTGTATGGATCCTGAGGAACGTGATTTCGCGGGAACGTGAGTTAATTGGTAGCTCCAGAGAGATAAATCGCGGTACCATTTACGTTATGCGAGAGAAATTGCATCGACGTGGTGAATATTGAGCGTGGTTAGCGAGAAATGGGTGCTGTGTGTAACGGTGGGGAGTTCTTAGATGATTGTCAGTGAATGTCTTGAATAATAGATTTGAAGCATACAGTATGTAAAAGAAGTCTGAGATTTGTATTGGACAAATGGACCAAATGGTAACTTTTATCAACGTTGTTTTGCAAATCGATAGCTAGTTTTGTGAGATTCAACGATGTAACGGTGGTCTGTTTTGGTAAAATAATCCAAAGTCAGCGTCAGTTTCTCTCAAGTCATCGTTGCTTTCGAAATCGATTGTTATTTCTGGGAAAATTATTTCTCCGTTATAAGAAGCGTAACAGGATATTTTCGTGGTCTGTATTGGGAAAATGATTAAAAATGTGGAATTTTCAGTTCGACGTCGCTTTCGAGATTAGCGGTTAACGTTGTGAATGATTTATCGTGAACCGGCGTAACGCCTTAAATTGCAAGGGACATAGACAAACAAAATAGTACAATAATAAATCAAGAATGTCCCGTTGTGAAGGAATTCCCAAGTTCACGGTTATGAGCTACGTGCAACGATAGGAAGTCGTAAAACGTCTAAATACGTGCGACATGCGTTTCGTTCGTCAGAAGGATCTCAAGGCACTTTTGTTCCCTCGAGAACCGGCCATAAATTCACGCGTGTCAGGTTAACGAACTTCGTCCATTAGATTTACATGGTTTTACGAGACACTTCCCTCCGTCTACGTAAACGCCTGAACATCTGCGGCGAGGAACATCGATTCCCTCTCTCAAGTTACTCTTTCTGGTATTCTGTTGAAGGCTTCGCGGGAAGGATCACACAGGATCCTGGTAATATTTGTCCGAGCATTTCGTCGAGTCTGCTGAAAAGAAACAAAAGTGAAAGAAACGATTCTTTATACGATGTAAAAGAGTTGCTTTCTTTCGAAGAACGTTCACCCTTGGCAAAAAACCAAGGGCCAGGTTCGCGATACAACGTTTGAAAGGGACGTACGGGCAAAGAGAAGGCCACGAAGATTCCCTCGAGAAGCGGCTAAGAGGAAGAGTTCACGAGTCGAAGGTTAACGAACTCGCGCGAATTAAAAGGAGGAAAGGAAGTCTGACGTAATCGCGACGCGTAGTCTTTTCACCTCTGGCTCTAGTAGCGCGACAGAACAAATGATCTCGAGACGAACTAAACGAGAACGCAAGGGAAACATCTGTCCGTGTTTCGGGGTCCAGTTCGAGAATATGCAACACAATCATTTCGTATCGTGCGTGTCACTTTTGTCGTGACTGCCTTCGAGACGTTTCTCTTTCCTCTCCTTGATTCTCTCTCTCTCTTTCCCTTTCGAGTTCCCGGTTCGACAAAAGCGGTCTTGTGCCTACGCGTTGATTATTCAAATGTGTGTGGGACCTGTGCGAAAAGGAACGTCGTAAAACGCGCGGCGCTGGCTGCATTGTCCCATTGAGCCGCAGCTCCTTTTGGTACGTGTGAAAAAGAATGGACAAAGGGAAAATGAATCTTCTTGGTTCTCAGGCGATCGGCAGACGGCCAGGCAGACGGATTAACTCGTTTTAAAGGGATCCAAGGGACGCCATGCTGGCCGGTCGCTCGGTCCACAAGCTGGAGTTGCGCCTCTCTCTGCCCTGGCGAACCGGTCTGTTTTCGTTCCGAAACGCGCCTACACTCGCGAACTTCGTTTTAAATCCGCTCTCCTGAACGCTCCGTGCGTCCAAGCAGATGCAAAAGGAGAGGGAAGTGGTTTGCGAGTTGCCCCGATGTGTGCATAGATCGTGGCACGATGGTTCTTCTTCGACCTGAGATCCACCGATCTTTTGAAACCACCTGTAGCGAACCGCGCTTCGTAGCTGCGCTTTTTCCTTTCATAGATAGGAGAATTCTCTCTTGCAAGTTGTTTCTCTTCGTCTCGTAAGGATCCATCCTACGTTATGTTACAAAACGGAGAAAGCTGGTACAACGCCGAGGTTCGGTAAATTCGAACGGATCACCTACGAGATGCGAATAAACGATCGTCAAACGAAACGAATCGTGGTAACGAGGATTGATTACACGGCCGACAACTGCGTCATGAATTGTTAAAATCGTATCAATCACGCGAACACGTACTTACTTACATTATCATCGGCGCTCCGACGTGGCCAATAAATCCTGGTATGCAAATCGTCTCGAGTCTCCCTTTCAAGGGTCATTCTGCAAGGGTTAAAGGTCACAAGTGGCTCGGCACTGTACGCGCACGCCTATAGTACATTACCTTAAGAGTGGAGAATGCAGATCCTAGATTGCCCATCGTGAAAGTCCTGTTATTCCGCATAGCAAACGTTAAGCCTGCAAGCCGATTCTCCAAGAATCTCTCTATCTTTCCGCCGCGTCGTTAACATTCCACCACCTATAAACGTTTTCTTTTAACAAACGTAATTCAGAGTAATACGATTTCAATGAATTTTATTCTTAACCTTTCACCAAAAACGTCGCACGATGATTCAAAAACGTCTTCGTAGTTTCCCCAGAAACGTATCGAGTCGACCATTAGACGCTCCAGATATCCACCCTCAATGGACAGGATGAGCAGCCTAATCCACGATGGCGTCGATCGGCGATCCACGGCTGCATCCAAGCCATTGTTTACAAACATTCTACGTCACTAGGTATAAGTAAATAGAGCCGACCAGGCTAACGAAAACGGACGAACCACCCTCCGTTCCTGAAGATTTCCTGAGGGCCAGTTCCCTTTGTCCGAGCGCCAGATGTTCCCGCGAATAAAACCAATAAAATATCGCGATGCAGTTTCGTCGGCGGCGAAGCGGCGGAGGGACGAGGACAGCCGGTGCAAGGAAGCGAAGGAGCAGCGGGACGGGGGGCTGAGGATTAAACAGCACAAAGGGAGACGAAAAGAAGAGGAAGAGGGCCTCCGTAAAAAAAAAAGGACGAAAACCGAAAAATCGGGATCCGTAGGGAGGCGTGCAATGACCGGGACTGAATCGTGCACACACGCGCGCGCGTGATGTTCGACGGACACGCTATCTATCCGCCTCGAACTTTCTCCATCGAAAGCCTGTTTCGTTGAAAATAAAAAGCCCTGGAAAAGAAACGAACGTGACTTTTCGTTTTCCCTTTAGTCTTCTTTATCTTTCTTGTTTCTCCGATGTTTCTGATTTTATTCGTTCACAGATGGTTCGAGCGGAAAAAGTTATTGGAACCTTGCGAAATATTATTTCTTGTGTCTCTTTAGTTTTTGGTTTTTGGGTATGATTTGGATACTCTATCTTCGAGTTACTGTTAGGGTCGCATCACGATGTAGATTTGTTTTATTGTTTGTCTCTATAGATAGAGATAACCAACGTAGAGAAATTCGAAGAGAGGGAATTATATATTCTGGTCGGTCTGCTCTATAAAAAGCCACAGGTAATAAAACATTGGTACTCGTTCATTTGGAATTCGCGTAGCAAATCTCGCTGCTTTTATTCTCGGAACCCGTAACCGCTTGCGATTGGCTCGTAATACTCGGTGCAATGCAGCAACCTCCTTTGCTTTGTGATTCCTCGATCTTTCTCTCGAACCTTCCTTCGATCCTTTCATCGAAATACGCGACTTCTTCGAGATATCTTTTAAGCTCGTAATAACTACAATAAAACTAGTCTATTATTTTTCGACGAAGCAAGAGACCCTGAAACTCTTCAAACACTCTTGTCTAATAATCCCAAGAAATCCCATTTACTTTTATTCAAGAAATACCTCGACCATTTTTTCTACCAATAGTATACGGTATTACGATCGGTATCACAATAAACACATAAATATTCTTTTACTATCGTTTTTCACAGGGCAAAGAATTCTAAAATGAAATAGCCTTGTAAAGCAAACTCACTGTTTCGTAAAAGGAACGCGATAATGCGAAGAAAGCCAAACGACCGTCGTTCCAAAAATACGATATTTCTACCCGGTCCGTTCTAAGGAAACGCACGCGATATCCAAGATTTCTCAAAAATTCCTAATTTACATCGTCCAGGAAAGGAAAATCGCTGCAAATTATCCCGATTCGGAGGCAAGCGGGCCGAACGACCCGAGAGATTAGAAGCGCGTTTGTTTGCACGGTAGCCGAAAGCAGCGAGGTTCGTGACACCCTGGGCGCATTAAAGGGGCTCGTTAAAGGTCCGTCTCTCTGGTCGTTAAGCATTGTTTAGCCCGCTGCTGGACACGCAGGGGACCGTTCCCGAGACCAGTCCACCCGGTCGATCGGGTAAGAAGGCCGGATCCTTAGGAGAGCGAGACGAACGCATGAAAAAGGGGGGAAAAAATGAAATAGAAAGTGGTCTGTCCGGTGCATACGATGTACAGTGTGCGAACGATCCGCGAGGCGCCTCCTTCTGGACCCTTACCCCCGGTCTGTTCCTATTCACCACGCACTATAGCAAATTCGCGATGCTCTCTTCAAGCCTTCCGCGGCATTGTGCTCGCATTTCTCGTGCGGTTGTCGGCTCGGAAAGTATCTTCTGGCTTGAGCTGTCGGTAAGTCGACTGAGAAGTTCGCGTGCAATATTTCTGTTCCTTTCCTCGCTGATTCACGTTGCCTCGAACTGAGAAATAGTAGTGGTATAATACACGCAAGTTTCTTCCGTGCGGTTGTTTCATTCTTGGCTGTTTCTTTTTGGGTCGGTTTTTTATAGGTTTGATGCTTGGTTGATGTATCGTTGGTGAGATCTGTGATTTTGATTAGTTACGTAGGAGTTTGGTCTGTTGCGAAAGAGAATGTGTGTCGATCGCAGAGAGAATGCCAGGTGACGTTGCCTACGTCACCAGTGACGCGCGATAGATACCTGTAGTATGTAATTTGACAGACATCGAACAATTTTGTTCTCCGGAAGATTTTCGCGATCGTTGTTTCATAGAGATTTTTCCTTCTGTGATCGAGTGAGGATTTGTAAGCATTGCAAAATATATTGACAAATTAGGGTAGAACTGGCGAAAGACTGATCTTCGATTAGATGCTCCTTTCGATTGAAACTTTTCTGATAACTATTGGTAACATCTTCTCTTTTATTTTTCTAGCGTTAGACAAGATTTCGGACCTTCCAAAAAATTGAAGCAAAACATCCATCTCGGCAAAATGATAAATTTTCTGTCCCTTCTGGTGCTTACTCTGACTTGCGTGATTGTCCACGCCCAACAAACATCTGATCAAAAACGTAAGTAAACCTTTCAATGAAAACGTTTCCAAGAAACGGATAACTAATCGTTAATGTATTTGTACACCGGGATTGCATCGTGTAACCTTAACTGTTTGTCATCGACGATTAAGTTTCTACTCGTTTTCAAGAACGTAAATCGATACTGTGCACTGTCATAGCGTCACGTGCAGTTACTTGATTCGATTCGCGATATTTTATTGCTCAATCGGTTTTATTTTTCTTTCATTTTTCTTATTTTCATTTTTCATTTCATTTTTCTCATTTTTTTTATTTTACTTTTATTTTTCTTTCAACTAATTCCAATTTTTTCTTTTTTCTTTTCTTGTACATTTAGCTGTTTTTGGGCAGACGTTTGACGAAATCGTGGTCTCGTCGGATCTGAATGTCAGAAGAAAATCCAAAGAAAGCCGTCAAGGTAAAAGGTTGACCAATATACCTTCAGGAACCACGGGTCCACCAGAAAAATCCACCGTGCTCGCGTCCAGGTTCATTTCGAATGACGGCAGTCAAATTACTTGGGAAAAAACCCAAACGAAACGTGAAATTTCAAATTTGCAGAAGAGGTGAGGAGTTCGCAGCACCGTGATCTTTCTTTTCTCTTTAATAACTGCAGGATAAATTAATTGTTGAAATAAAAAAAAAACGTGTCTATTTTAGGTATCTGGACATGGGCATCACAGGATTCTTGCTGAACTCTCGGAAACGATGAAATTTCTATTCCGAGGACAACCGCACGATCCTCACATACCCATTCCGACCATACTTTTCGGACAATTTTCGGACCATGGCTCATGTAACAAAAAGAATAATAAAAATTTTCTGTGTCACAGCAATACCTGCGACTCTCGATATTCTTACGTCCCACCTATTCCGGTCGATCTCATTTCTAATTAATCGTTACATTCGCAAAGCGTGTTATTTTAATATCGAGATCAACTTCTCGATTTAAAACGAGATCCAACGTAGCACATAGTCGGAGGAATTTTCTGTGTCACGATTTTTGCCAAGCGTAAATCTAGTACGGAAAGTTTCAAGATCGGTGAATGCGATCAATTACGAGCGCCCTCGATTGGAAAGATCGAGGTGCAAAGCGAAAGTCGCACGGACAGAGCGGTTTCCTTGACGTGCGAGCTGAAAGGTGGCGGTGCGGTGTCGTTTAAACTTTCGAATCGTTGGACGCGTCGCGTCGTTTCGAATGCACCCTACCGCGCGATGCCACGTTCGCAATACGTCCGCTGATACGTTGCGGCGAATTGTCAAGCATTCCGTGTACGTCCCGCGAGCTGGAAAAATCGGCTGGGACTGAAATATGGCAGGCC